CCATGCCCAAATATTACATGTGAGAATGTGCTTGCTGCCCAGGCTTTAGCTGTCAGACTACATTAACCCTTAATGGCATGGATGATCAGTTGCCAGGGATTGGGCTCATGTCCCAGGCCTATTTAGTTCAGCACTAATGACATGGTTGATTACTCAGGAAAGTGCCTGATGCAGCAGTTGCGATACACAGCTTTCAGGTCAAGTGTTCCAGGCTACTTAACATGTAACCAAACAACCTAAAAATCCTTCCAAGCATGGATGAGCCCAAATAACCTTGTGTCTTTCAAGGTCCTTGTAAGAATAGATCAATCTTACCCCCATCCACACACACACATTTACAGTCCTTGCCAGGTACAAGGCAGAAGTGACTACAAAAATGCAGCATTTCTGCAGATCTCAAGAGGAGACAATACCACTTTTTGTACACAACTGTTTTTTAAATTTTGTTTTATTTTTTAAAGATACCTGGAGAATGTTGCCCTAAAGGAATTCTGATTTACAGTACAAACTTCAGACCGGAGTATAGGGATGAGGAACTCTTACTATATCAGTACCTCAGGCTGTGCTTGCTACTTTTCAATAATTTTTTTTTGGAAAGTCTAATCTGTACTTCCACATGGGCCTTGAGAGATACTGATCTTAACCTAACATAGAGATTCAGCACATGTGTATAAGTTTATCCTTTCCAGCTTGTGCAGCAGTAAGCAGGTATCCCTTCGTGGCTTTGCACAGGGTAATGCAGGCAACAGAACCTGTGCTCAAATCTGAACAAATTTGTAATTTAATATGGTGCAACTAATGCAGTTGTATTGTGCTGCTAGAAGCAGCAGTTTAGTTCTTTAGGGAAACAAAGTTTCAATTTTACCTAGCAACTAGGCATTAGAAAATAATAAATTGCTATTCTCTGATCTGTAGAGGACAGATGAAGAGTATTAGGCTTTCAGAAAATAAAGTTAAGTGTCTCTTTGATCCTGTAAGAACATATAGGGTGTTTTTTTTTAAAGTTTGGATCTAAAAAGTAGAAGCAAATAAGAACATTTACAGGGAAGTTTTGTTTTGAAAACCTGAATCTATTGGGGTCCATTTTTAAAAAAATATTTTGTCAGTTTATGACTAGTTAAATAACAGGCTGATAAACCTGTGAACTTGTTGACACCACATTCAAATTAACCAAAACACTTCTCTTAGCTCTTGTGTCCTGGTTTTGGCTGGGATAGTTTTCTTCTTAACAGCTGATTCAGTAATATGGTTTAGATTCAGTATGAGAACAGTGTTGATAACACTGATGTTGCACTACATAACAATAACCAAAAGTCAGGGACTTTTCAGTCTCAGGCTCTGCCAGTGAGGAGAGGCACAAAAAGCTGGAAGCATGGTCAGGACAGCTGATGACCCAGTCTGAACAAGGGATATTCCATATCATAGCACATCATGCCCAGTATATAAACTGGGGGAAGCTGGCCAGAAGTCACGGATCATTTCTCAGGCTCAGCATCAGTCAGCAGGTGGTGAGCAATTGCATTATGCATCACTTGTCTGTCTTGGGGTTTCTCTTTGTTGTCTCCCTTAATGTTACAATTACTGTATCATTTCATTTCTCTTATTTCAACCCATGGCTTTTACCTTTTTTCCTGTTCTCTCCATCCTAACAGGGCAGAGATGAGCAAGCAGCTGTGTGGTACTTAGTTACCAACTGGGGTTAAATCACAACAGACACAAAAGAGTTTAAGTCTCTAATGGGTTTGTTTTTTTTCAGTACTCTTCTATCTGCAACATTCCTCACTCTGACTGAAAAAAATAAGCTAAGGCTAGGGCAAATTATTTCCTATTTTGTCAGGGTAAGATGAAGTACACAGCTGTAATGATCTTAAGACAATTTAAAAATACCTTTTCAATCAATTTACCAGTTTCAATGTAAGGACTAAGCATTTGTTTTATTTCAGTCCATTCATCTCTTTCCACCTTTCCATATAAATAAAAAAAATGACTGAACATCATTTTAGGACAGATTTTAATAATTTTTCACCTGTAAAACTAGTACCATTGTTGCTGGGAGAGTGCTCCTTCAGCTGTGGAGAACTCCAATCTCAGGAAAAAACCACAGTGATTACTGCTCTAGTTAGAAGCCTCAAGTATGAAGTGTAGCTCAAGGTAAGGGAGCAGATCACTACTTCAGCTTTTCACCTCCAACATACCTCAGCTAAACAGCAAAGCTGGCTCAGCACTGAGGCCTTTGTTGAACTCCACCTGCCTCTGTTTCTGTTAATTTGAGAATTGAAAGGGACATAGCTTCAAAGAGGAAAAAAGAAAAAAGCTTTTATTTCAGCCCTCTCCCAATCTCACCCTCCCTGCAATTACTAACATACCCACCACATCTATTTTACAGCCCACGTATGATTCATGTTTCAAATCTTTAAATGGACATAGGTCATAATTGCCAAGTAGTATTCAAATACAAATCAAATCTCCTCAGGAAATTCCCAAGAAAACTGCTGGAAAGGCGCTCTCTACTTCTCCTGCTCCTTATACTGGTCATCCTCAGACAGAATACTGAACGAGGCAAACTCTGTCCCACTCAATACAGCCATTCTTCTGAGCATCAAACACCACTTTGTGCTCTGGAGCCTGCAGGAAGTTTGAGACAATGGCAGAGAAGTACTGTCTTCATTGCCCTGATAGCTCAACTGGACTATCAACTAAAAAGCCACATATGTTTGAAAGAAAATGGAATTCATCATTGTAATTTTACTTTCCCCATTTATATCCACCAAGGGAAACAGACAATGGCAGACAAACAAAAACTCTTGTAACACCAGTTGTAACACCAAAAAGCAGAGAATGCACATCATCCGACACATGAATTTACACAGCATACAATGGCCTCCATCTGTACTCCACTCATCTGAAATCACCATTAATCTCTTAAATTCATTCATACTTTGGATAACTCAAATGTTGTCCTCTAAGCTGTCTGTGGGAGGGGGTGTGCAGAAAAACTACTAAAGTCAGGGCTAAACACCCTTCAATTGAAACACCTTTCCTTGGGCAAAGTTAAACATCTGCTCACTCTGCTGTGTCCATGTTTAAATGTCTTAAGGAGCATCTTTCTCTACCAACTGATATTTAATTTCAGTGCTGATTTTTAAGTGGCAAAACACATACTCCAACTTTACATGGCCACCTTACACAATTAAGATCCTGCCTGCTCCAGATGGCAGCAAGTCCAACACCAGCACACACTATGGGTGCAGCCATGGCCACACACTTCTCTGCAGGACGGCAGGCTGACAGCACAGCTTCCACTGAAATTCCAGTTCACTAGGATCCGGTACTTCAAGCAGACATCGCACGAGCACTGGCACTCCCACAGCAGTGCGTGTGTTGTGGCAAGATAACCACTGCTACGTTAGTTTGACTCACTTGCAACTCTTGTTTATAGATCCACAGCCTTCACCAGCAAGACGAGTTCAACAAGACAAAACCTCCCACCTTAATAAGGACCTTATCAAATAATAGCAAAGCATTTATGCAGTCTACTCTTGTATCTTCCTTGCAGTTGGAAGATACTCCTTTCGCTTGTAAGCCCACCACTCAATTTAAAAAACAAAACAAAACAAAACACTTTTTTGCCCTGTTACTAAGAGGGATATGTGGCAACATTCCAGAACAAGTTTGTCTAACCATCGATTTCTTGGACCACAGCCCAACAGCCATGTGACACTTTTAAGCTCAACACTAATGATGGTTAGTGTGAAAGATTTCACCAGACTAGAACACAAAAAAGCAAACTGCTTTCATGCTCTTTAATGCACAAATCTTCAGCTAAACGTTTTGTAAAACTGGAGTTTAATGAGGTGCTTTTGAGGAGAGATATCTCATGCCATGTTTTCCTCTGAGTAACCCTTCACAATTACTTCTCATCTCAATCACTTTTATAAAACATCAGTCCAAAAACCATTCCAGAACTAAATCCTCAAGTGGTTTACAAACATTACCTCCCTCCCACAAAGCAAAAAAGCTACTTGCCATTTTAAAACTGGTTACAAAATTCCCCTTCTTGCATCACTTTCACTAGTCCCACATTCCAAAACCTCTGGAGTATCATGGTTAAAACATCCATTTATGTTTGCAAATACCAGACTTTCAATACTAATACACATTTTTCATTCATGACCTATTTTCTGTAGCCATACAGGAACATTCATAAAGTTTTACAGCTCAATATGCAATATGCCTTATCACTGGCCACATCTACCTTTCTCTGTGCTAAGTGATGCAAATCTTTCTCATGATTAAAACACTGCTTCTTTACAGGCCTTCACCACAGAAATGCACAGTAACTTAATTCCCTGACCCCCGTTTTCTAATGTTGCTGATCCTACGTCCAAGACCATCTCCAATGAAGGTTTTATAGCAAGATTAACATGAAGGGCTTTGGGCACATGAAGTGTCACTCACAATCCTGAAACTTTTTTCATGCCCAACATCACAAGATGAACCCGCACCAATTTTACTGGATATACACATGGCATTATCTCCTTAAAACCTCTCACATTTTGTATTATCAGCCAAAACACATTCCACACTCTTCTGACCCCGCAATGAAGTCATGCAAATCCCTCTGAGCACCTAATGAAGTACTTACCAAATATTACTGTTGTATTAACCATCCCTGTCCTTTATCTTTTTAACCTCCATAAGAGGACTGGCAACTTTCAGACTTACCAACCATGCAGCTTCACTAGATGCTGGCAACAGCACCCAGACTTTTCACAGAACTGCAGTGGGCAGATGGAGATCAGTCCCTTCCCAATTCTGAAGTATGTGACTACCAAGTATGTTATCCTGCCATCATTCAAGCACAGTGTGGAGCATCATGTGCACAGAAGACGCTGCAACAGGCAGCACAAGACCACACTCACTGCCTTTATGGCTCTTGCAAATGACAAGCAGTCAGGGAACACTGTGGTGTGATACAAACCTGATGGGCAACAGGCAGGTTTTTCATATCCTCATCTTTATTCAAGAGAAAGCATGAACAAAACCCAACACACAGAAATACCTACCATTCTGAGAAACATTTAACAGAAAGAGAGCCTGTTGAAAGAGATGAAGGGAGAGCTGCTCCGTAGTAAATTTCTGCAGATTCCAACATTCAAGAGACTGATTTACAGTTGCTTGCTGAAAGCAGCCTTTACCTAAAGCAGCTGGCCACTGCTTATTAATAACCAAATCATAGGAGATGCTCAGTGAGCCAATACACCCATGGAATTTTGTCAGTTCCTTAGCATACATTTTAGTAACCTACGGGATACTTATTTTTCATTTCAATACTTCATGTGGTGCTCCTGTTCATACTGCTTAGGCAGAAAACTGGGCTTTACATGGTATTTGTCACTTATCACAGGCACACTCCATGAGTTATAGGAATCTCTCCAGTTCTCTACAGAGCTGCTTGCACCCAATGCTGTTTCTTTTTGCTGCAGACTTTAAGGTTGTTTTTATGTATTTTGGTGCATTTCAAAATGATTCAGTCACTGTAGCTCTTTTAGTATTTAGTTATTATGCCATTCATATGTTTCTTCCTTTATAAAGCATTTCTGACAATTGGGCTTGACATTTTTAAGGCACATGGAGTCTTATGTATAGTTGTCCTGAAAATCCCACTTACTTGGTGACCAATTTATGAGCCTTTATTTCTCTGTGGAAGAGTGACAATTTGACAAATACAGCACATATGCTGCTACTGTGATACAGCATTGGTACTTTTTAAGTGACTGCTTAAAGCACAAGTTCTAATGTATGTGGTCTCTTTCCCCCCACACAGCAAGCAGCTAATATTGTGTTCCTAAAGGAGCAGTTCCACTGCTGTGGTACTCATCTTTCCACGCTGAAGTGTCAATCCATAAAACCCCAACTCCTTGGTCCCTCAACAGATACAAACTGCAATGCAATCTGTAGACATTACATTTTCTTTCATACAAGCGTTTCAGGTTTATGCTTCCATAACACCATTACCTTATATACTTTCTCCCCCATCTCCTGGATGACATCACCCTCAAAACATAGACTCTTGGGTTTGCATTTGTGTACCCGTTTTGCTCTCCCTTGTCTTTACAGCGCCTGCATGTGAGCTCTGTTGTCCTGAGTTATCACAGATTTTCAGTATCAGCAAGAATGTGTAATCAGTACCATATTTTAAAAGAGTAACTGCTCAGGGGATTTTCCATGTATTAATGCTCAACATTCATTTTACTAATATTGCTGCTATCCTTCCTAGAGAGAGTAGCTCACTACTTCAGTAAGGCACTATTTTAGATATGCAGACAGTGATTTTGGTCTACATGCAGTTTCTGAAAACAGGATCTATATTGCAGCAGCTGTTTCAGCAGGCTGTAAAGCACGGCATCCCACTCCAAGCCACAAAAACTTTTCAGGTGTTACACTTCTTCCTGGTTACTGATCATCCACATTTGTCAGACAGCTCTGACAAAGTGTCCAGCTTATCACTGCAAACAGAGAGCAAGGGTTAAGTAAAACAGTTAATTCAAGAGAAAAACTTCAATTTGCACATAAGCACACAGTACTTTGTATAAATTGTTACTATTTCTGTAAAAAACCCCAAAAACTAAAACCAAAGACAGTATAATACTTTTCAGAAAGTGTAAATCAAATATTTTAGTCACATCTCAGATTCCGGATCCGTATTAAGTTTTTCAACAGGGAATTCAGGTTCGGGATAGGATCATCACAGATGAGACAAAGGCAATACAGAAAACAAATATAGTACGAAACATTACTGGGTTTCTATAATGTTTCCAACTGTTTAATTTTTGTACTGTAATCCCTAGTCTTCTGTTTTATTTCAGTAATAACACACATAGGTTTGAAAGCTAACCAAGGTTAGGCACAGCTATGAGCTCACATTTTGCCTTGGGGAACAAGTGCCAACAAATGCCAACTATGACTTAACATATCTTTAATCAATTAAGTATATTAACTGTCATAATACAAAAAATTCTGAACTGAAAGTACAGTTACTTTAGGCTTAAAATGAGAAAATATTTAGAAGCTTTTCAGTTACATACCTGAAAAAGCTAAAAGCTTCTGAAAGTTAAGTTCCTTCATTTTGGACTACTTTCCTGTCAAAAAAAAAAAAAAAAGTTTATTAGCTCAAGAAAGTCTTCTACCATCACCCAAAATTACACCTTGACATCTATTTAGCCTCTCATATAGACCAAACTGCATTATTCAATGTGTTGGATTAGTATCAGTACACTTTAAGTCCTGAGAAACTAATTAGAAGACTCGACTTCAAACATGCTATTTGTAATACTACAGTTTACATGTCACCTTCTGCTTTTAAATGGCTGACAATAATGCAGTTTTATAAAACAGTACTTAAATGATTACCATTACTGAAACCAGTTTTGCTGAGTTTCAAGGCACATACAGTCTATTAAATCCACCACCTTCAAATGCTTCACCTGTTCTGGTGTTAATCTAAACTCAGAAACCAGATTCACATGCAGTTTGGGATAGGGTCTTCACTGATCAGACATACCAATGGTTTTAAGCTTTACTCATTTAGGAAGCTTTTAAATTTATCATAACATTGGCATTTCTACCTTCAAATGACAAGCAGCATGCAAGTATTTCAGCAAAGACATAAAATGGTTAGTAACACTAGCAAAGTTTGCTACCTACAACTTTTCTCTACATCAGCCTCATAAAGTCACTATACTTCCTACTTGCAATAGGGCCTGTCTAAAACAATGCAGCATTTTATAGGCAGCAGTGCTGCAAGAGAAGTTTCACTCATACAAAACCTGTTCTTCAAAAGAAAGTGTTGGTAGTTAGCAATGTATTTAAAGGTACCTTTCTCGAATAAAGAGTGGAATAAAGTTGCAGATGTGCAGTAAGACAGGAAAGTTAAAAGTTCTTACATTTTAACTTTCTAACTAAAACCAACCTGTGAATATACTCAACGACCAGTGCAATAAAGTGAATTGCTTTTCCTAACTGCTCTCATCTGAGTGAGCCCTAAATAAACAATCCTAAGAGGGTCAACAAAACATAACTAGTTTTCAAACGCCAGCAAGGCATCCTTACCATACCTGGCTAATGCTTGTTATTTACCCACTATAAGGCAGGATATCTCAAATTACACAGGTTTAACACTTCCCCCTCCCTGTGCTCTTTACAGATTGGAGCATTTGAAAACAATACATATTCGTGTCAACATAGACCTGAGATGGGTTTAAATAATGCACCAACATTCTTATTCACAACCTGGTGCATGCTGCACCGGGCTTGTACACAGGGGCAGCAGTAAAAGTAACACCAACTGGGATAGTGATGGAAAGATTAAATGCTTTCATCTCAGGAGCCAGATCCATATGAAGTTTCTCAGCAATGTATCAGGTTTGGCATTTTTATCACTATACATCACTTGAATACCTGTGACTGGGAACTGTAACACCGCTCATACACTCATTTTCCACAAAATAAGCTTTGTGTCTTTCATATGCAATATACTGAAAAGGGAATGCATTACTTTAAACCAAAAATTTCCACTACTGCATCAATAAATATTACCTCTACCTGTTATAATTCCTGTTGCCAGGAAATCTTCAGGATGCCTCACATTCCCATTACTAGAAACTGTTCATGCACTCTAGAAATTCAAGTAAAATAATCAATTACAACATGTTCATACATACTGTAACACAAGCAAGAACTGAATTTTACTTTTGTAACAATGGGCTGTAGGTACCTAAGTCAAAATAAATTGAATATAGATCCTTTCTTTCCAAAAAGTGAGAATGTCAACTATACGTTTAAATAACAAATACACATTTCCTAAAAAACTGAAACATTTGCATATTTACATTAACAAGTCTCTAGATGCTCTCTTTATTTTCTTTGCCTAAACAATTTCTTATACTAATCTCCCAATAAAGAGCAAATTCACAATTAGAAGCCCTATTGAAGTAATATTTCGGGCATTTTACCAGCTCCTCTGACACAAAAACTTTGTAATTCCTTCAGCCTACACAGTTCTACACCATGTCAAACATGCCTAAAATATGATATCTCAGTTTTAAAGCTACTAATTTGATCATGCCCATATTACACTAATCCACTTACCATTCATTTATCTGCATTAATCATTCAAAACATACAGAGCTTTCAGGAAAATCCACTTGTGTGTACCAAGTATTCTTCTGCATGTGATACTGCTTCCATGAAGTGCTAAAATAAAAAATAAGCAAAAATTATCTTTTAAATTAGGAAACACCTCTCGCTGCGGTCTAGCATCATCTATCACATTACTATGTCAGAAACAATCACCGAGCACTAAAAGTTGACTTTTTCATAAATTCAATATTCTTCTAGAACAGTCTTTAACACCAAACAAACCAAAATTTTGCATGCACTAGAAAAGTTACGCTGAATTGGTTTGGAATTCTTTTGCAACCATGACAAATGCTGAAGACCTGAGACATTCAAGCTTTTTATTCAAAAATATTTGAGTGGCCATGCATTTATTGACAATGCAATACTGTTTGTCCGTTAGTTTGCAGGATCATTACCTCAGTAATTACATTTAAATATGGTCATGTATGTATATTAACTTAAATACACATCCAAGGCAGCTAACTCACTCCACCTCCACAATCAGTGTAATTTAACACAAGCTAACCGAGTTCTTTATGACCTGGGTCTTTATGTTTATATAAATGCCACATCAAAAGAAAAGCAACTAGGAACTGACCTATGGGCTGACCCTAACTCAGCAAAGAGCACCAGACCTTAAAATTATCAGAAAATTACTCATCAGTTTGGTGGCAGCAATGAAAATGCAATGTACTGGTTTTCCTTTTTGTCCCACTTAGTAGCCATAAAAAGATGACAACCCTACAACACTTTAAACTCCCATTACTTTTGAAAGACAAAAATATGGAAACCAATTAAGAAACAGAAGCATTTGTTAACTTGGTCAATAACAAATGCAGTGTTACTTCTAGAGCAACAGTAATTAAAATTCCAGAGCTGTTACCTTAATGCACAATGTACTGGACACAACTGAAAACATCCTCTCCATCATACCTAAAAACAAAGAGTGAAAAACGTAAAACTTGGCACCAGCAGATTCACATTACCAGGCCAATAAGTCACACACATTATGAGACAATTGTCAATAACTCTACCCAACAAGCTCACTAGAGAAAAGCAGAAAGAAATGCAGTTTTAAAGTAACGAAGGAGTTGTGAGTTATACCCACTTGCAACCTCACAGTAAAAGCACTGTAGAAAATAACTGTATGTACCTATTGTTGAACTTCATTTTAAAGCATTTTCAATGAAAATTCATCATTCCAACGTTTCAGTCCTTTAAAGTGTGAGAACTGATTTCCACTGGTTTAAAGAATTGTTTCAACCAGGGAGCAAGTATCAAAATTCACCAACTCAACCAGCAGAAGAAATGCATGACAAAGTATGTTTTACCATATACAATACTCAAAATAAGCACGTTCGCATTAAAAAGTTTCTTGCTCTACACTACACAGATCAAAAAAACGTAGCAACCCTTCAAAGATAAATGAAGTAAAATGTGCGATGAGTTAACAAAAACAATTTAAGCAATGGAAAACCTCGAGTTAAGGTTCCACTTAGTGGGTGTGATAAATATTTTTATTTTTAACTTCAGTTATTGAGTGTAAGGGTTACTACTGGTTTGTAAAGATTCAGTAATTTTAGTTTAGTAATCTTATGTGTGACTCAGGCTATTAGACAAGCTAACACTCAGTGAATGCACCCGACAATTTCCTACATGAATCCAACCATATCTTCATCTTTACTTGCAGGTAAGAGCCTAGAATCATAGCAATTTTATTTTTTTTAAATTATATTTCCCGTTCTTCCAGAAGTACTATAGCTCAGTGAGATTAGCATTGCAAGGGGGGAAGGGGGAAGAAAGGCTTAAGGCCACAGGAAGCTTTCTGGGGAGGTGGTGTGGGTTAGTTTTTGTATCTCTGCTCTTTAATACATCGCCATTTATTCTGCTGTGTCATTATCTAAAAAACAAAGGAAATATAATTAGTTAAAACGTTAATTCTATGATTTACATTAAAAAGCAACTTAAGGTTGGATTTCACAGTACTTTTAGAAGTCTTCTACAGTAGGACAATTTAATGATGCCGATGGCTGAGCCCCCAAGAACATGTACAGATAACACAAACGCGAGCACCAACCCTGTGCCACACGGACAAGGCGGCTGCGCCTCGCTCGAGGAGACCGAACCTTCTACTGGAACAAACACCTACCTCGTTCTCATTGGCATGTTTAATTTCATTCCTCTGCACTAGCCAACATTTTAGAAGGTTCCCTGACTGAGAGCACCGCCGGCTCCGCATCCGCGCACCGGCCCGGCCGCGCCAGGACAGCAAAATGGCGCGGGCCCGGCCACGCCACGCGGGCCCCCGTGGCAACTACCGCTCCCAGGTGCACCGCGCCGCGGGCGGGCGCTTCCGGGGGAGGGGGCCACCCGCGGGGCGCGCTGGGACACGAAGTCCGCCCCCCCGTCCCCTCGCACCGCCGGGGCTGCCAGCGGGGCGCGGCGCGCGGGCGGCCGTGGCCTTGCGGCGGGATTAAGGCCGGCCTTACCCGCGGCTCCGAGCCTCACCCGCCAGCTCCACCCTCGAGTACTACGCGAGCGGCGCCGCGAGCGATCGTCCCGCACGGCCAAGCGCAGGGAAGGCGCCGCGGCGTACCCGGAACCGCGCTGGGGCCGCGGCACAGCCCGCAGCCATGCCCACCTTACCGCGTGGCTCCAGCGCAGGCATTCCGCAGGGGAAAGAGGAGAGGCGGGGGCGCTCGCCAGCCTTATATGCACACCGCGGGGTGGGAACGAGGCTAGCCACGCCCCCCGCCCGCGAGCCGAGGGGCGGAGACGCGGGGCCGCGCTGCGCTCGCGGGGGCGCGCGGAGGGGCGGGGCGGTCCCTTAGCGCTCGGAGTGGGCGGATGATCCTGCTGCGCTTCCTGCGCTCCCTGTGCTCCCGCCTTTCGCCCCGCTGGGCACGGCGTGCGCACCGAGGCCGGAGGAGAAAGGGGCACTCGAGCCTGGCTGTCGGTCCCGGTGCTGTTCGTGCGCTTTGCGTTGCAGGTTTTCTGCGTGAAGCGCAGAGCGGTCCTATGTGAGTTTTTAAAGTGAGGGCAGGGAACCAATCTGATGCAGATCCACCTCTGAAACCTAGAATATATGTTTCTGACAGAATCACAGCATCGTTAAGGTTGGACAAGACCTCTGAGATCATCGGATCCAACCTATGACCTAACACCACCTTGTCAACTAGACCACAGCATTGAGTGCCACATCCAGTATTTTCTTAACACCTCCAGGGACAGTGTGAGGGTCGTGAGGCACTGGGACAGGTTGCTCAGAAAAGCTGTGGATGCCTCATCCCTGGCAGTGTTCAAGGTCAGGTTGGATGAGGCTTTGAACAGCCTGGTCTCATGGAAAGTGTCCCTGCCCATGTCAGGGGGATTGGAGCTGCGTGATCTTTAAGGTCCCTTCCAACCCAAACGGTGCTATGATTCCCTCTATGCCACCACAGCTATAGCCACTGGAAGTTGTATGGTTGCACCTCAGTCAGAAAGTGACTTATTCTGCAGATGAATCTGCCTCCTGTACTGCTGTGTAAGTGCTAGTGAAAGAAGTGGGAGCAGGTACCTAAACTACAGTGGGGATAACAGGAGCACTACAGCCTAGATGGAAAACCACATCCCAAAATCTAATTTATTTGGGTTCTCACTAATTGTTTATAAATATTTTTTTTTTTGATGCCTGATTATTGAAAGGTATCAATCAACTTAGCTGAGGAAAAACAAGGAAGGCTGAAGAAAAGCTCAAAAAATTGCTTGGTGCTTTGACAAGTTTTTGCAGCCCATGTCAGGGGATGACACTCATTTTGTCTCTACTTTTCTTCTTCCACAACCTGTTTCACCTATCTGAAATCCTCCTCTTGACTGCAAGCTGCAGCTGGCCCACTGCATTTTCTGCTGTAGAGGCATGAAGGAAAAGGTCTACAATTCTGCCTTTTGCTTGAGTGCCTCCCACCAGCACCTGTTTCAGCAGCTGTTTCTGCAGGAAAGAACATCTGGGAAGAGTAGCTAGTGCTTCAGGCAGTGCTCAGGAGCCAAACCTGGGCACAGACAAGCACTTCATGCTGTTGTTTATCTATCCATCTGAAGTATTCAAAAGGCCCCAAAACTGATGTTTGCCACAGGGCACTGAAAATGTTGACTTCCTTAGTGACATCAGGGTTAAAGATAAGCAAAGTAATCAAAGAAATTAATCACTACTTGATTAGCCCTAAAGAAAGAAGGCAGCCCCTAAAGCTAAAGCCCCTAGAAGTGTTAAATAATCCCATGTTTTCAACAGCACCTGTGGAGGGCTTTTACGGCATGTTATTCTCTCAAAAAATGGAATTTCTTTTTTTGGGGAAAACCAAACAGACTCATAATTTAAACCCAAAGTACATTGCATAAAGCATGAACAATTACTATTTTGGTTTGCATTTGATAATAAGAAGCCTATAAATAATGAGGTGACTCAAGCCCGTCCAGGGCTGCAGGGTACTGCTCTGTACTGTGAGCTTTGCAGACAAAACACAGCAGTGCAGTCACTGTGGGGAGCCTCACACCTTGCAGCGCTACCACACGCTGGCTTTTCTAATTTAGCAGAGGAAACTCTTCATCTCTCTGTTAGGCTGTAGGGTACAGGTTTACCAGCAGTACCTGAGCGCACGTCGTATGTAAACTTTTTATCCCCAGAGAAATGTACCTCATATTTCTCAGTATCACCCAAGTCTGCTAGCACTGGAGAAACCTGTAGATCAAGTGAAGTAAATCTTCATTGTAGGCAGGCAACAATTACAATTACAAGGCTGAAAATAATTATCCAAACTGAAAATAATTATCCAAACTGAAATGAAAATGTGCACCTCAATTACAGATTATATTTCAAAGTAAGGTTCCTTCTTTTGCCTTTCTTTTGCCCTTCTTCAGGTTTCCACATCTTTAACCTATATCCCAGGTGTCTGGATGAGGGTGTAAGCTATATAGAAAGATCTGATCCTCAAATGCCACTCCCTAGAGAGATCCTACAGCTAGTCTGAACCATAAGCCTGCTTGACATAAAGTCTTAGTTTGTAGATGAGTTGCTTCTGAATTTAGTTCACCACACAGCTGCACATTCATGCACAGTGTCTGCACTGTCGGAAGGGAGTGCTGGTTATGAGATCATGGGAGGATAGTGGATTGGCTCCGTTGAGACCTACAGAAATATATGCTGGCCTGAAAGGCTGCTGGTGTGTGATTACCCTCCAGGGCTTTTCAGTTCCAGGCAACTCTCTACAAGTTCTTTTTTCTTGTTTTAAATTATTTCTTTCTTGTTCTTTCTCTTTATTTCTGTCTCTCCCCCCCACCACTTCCCCTCTGTTCTTATTTTAAATTTGACTTCCTGGAATTTCTCCAATAGCACTGCAGCTTTGATAATTCACATCTCTTGGTTTGGTTTGGGGTTGTTACCAGTGCATCCCTTGAGATGCCGAGTTTTCCTTCCCTCTTGCCTCCCCTGCAGGAAGTCTATTGTATGCAAGTTTAATTTCTTCCTTCTCAGAACAGATACTACTAATTGTAAAATCCTGAGCTGACTTTGCTATATTTCACATTATGCTTCATAAAATGCACGAGTTGGGAAACAGTTTCATTTAGCTTATGAATTTGACCCTGGATTTAATGTCTTACAGGTACCAGAATTTTTAATTTGAATTTCTCAATTCTGTCTCTTTGAATTTTTAGTCAGTTTGGTGTCACAGAAAGATTAGTACTCTTTTTTTTTCTTTCATTTTTTTTTAATAAGAAATGAGATCATAAAAACATTAGAACAGTTATATGGGGTCAGATCAGAGGTCTACCACCCCAAACTCCCACTAGTATCCTGCTTTCAACTGTAGGCAAAAGTAAATGCCTAGGGAGGGGAGTTGAGACAGAACAAGTGTGTAGGGATTCTTTCCCAGCCTCTGGGAGTACAAAAATCAGAAGCCTCCTAAGGATGGGTTTGGTTTTTTTTATTATTATTTGATTGGGGTTTTTGTACGTGAGAATTTAACAATCCTCTATTAATCTTCTGCCCATAAATTTTTCCAGTCTTCCTCAGAACCTGTATAAAATTTTGACATTCCCAACAATGGACAAGGAATACCAGAGGTTAATTAGCATTACAGTAAAGTAGTCCTCCTGTAGTTCACTTTGCATCTTCTGTCTGTTTGCTCTTTGCAGTTTTAGAAGAAGCAGTGGGCAATCCGTCCCTTTGCACTCGTTGAGCCCCTGCTCCACAATCTCTTCTTCAGGCTGAGAAAACCTAATTTATTTAATCATTCCTCACAGGGGGATTAGTTCCTAGCTTTGACCTTACTCTCACTGATCTTCCCCAAACTTTTTTTTGTTTCATTTTGAGATGGGAGTCCCAGAGTATACAGGGCATTCTGGAAGCAGTTCCCTCATGGGCTTTTGCCGAGGTGCGATGATATTCTCCATTTTCTTCTTTGTTTCCCAGCACTTACTAAACTTTGGTTTCCTTTTCTGGTTGTTGCTGTGGATGGAACTGACGTTTCCACAGAACTGTCTGTCATAACTGCAGGATCTCACGTCTGAGCAATAAGAGTCAGAGCCCATCACTTTACATTTGCTGCTGCGTTTGCTTTCCTTTATGAGCAGTGCTTTTTATCGATCTATGTTGAATTTCACATGTTGCTGTTATACTCACTCAGCTTTTTTGAGCTCCTGCATTTACTTTTGCATCAGCAATGACTGATTACTAATTATTTTACCCCTCCACATACCACCTTTTTTAGATCCATTCAGTAAGTTCATCAGTACAGATCATGCAGATTTCAGGGGTAGTTTTCTTCCACTCTAAAAATGAACCATTTACTTCTATCCTCTGTTTCCTATCTTTTACCTTTTGTCTCATGTCTGCTTAGTTTGCCTAAAGTCATTTGCTAAGAGGCTTTAGGGAATCTGTGCATTAGATCACATTAGCACATGCTTGACAATGGCAAGCATGACATGAGTTTACCAAGTGTTCTGACCATTGTCCCACAGATGTTACTTATCCAGATGCACACTAATGGTTTTTTTAATTATTTTCCTGGTACAGATATGAGGCTTAGTGGGCTGAAGTTTCCTGGATTTCCCTAGAACCTGTTCAAAGCATTATAATTGTTTGTCCTTCTTTAGCACCAGAGCAATTTAAAGGGGACGTCGCGCACAACAATTAGCAGTTCACGTTTCACTGGGTTCCTCCAGAACAGCATTTTATCCTGTTGAAACTGCAGCATCTTCAAGAACTTTGAAGCAACTTCCCTGATGAAAGCATCAGAGGTGGTGTAGTGCAGGGAATTTCCCCAGATTTTCTATACTGAACACAGGAGAAAAAATTTTTGCAATTGCATGGCTTCATTTTTTCTGAACAGACTTCCTGTGCCTCATGAATTTGAAAAAGAATATATTATTAGTTTTGATAGACTAAACAGTGTTATTTTGTGTCGTGGTTTTAGCTAGTTCTTGTAAGCTAGGCAGAGAATTTTCTCCCTTCCCCTCCCACTTTTGTGGGTATAGGAGTGTTGTTTGGTTGTTTTACTTGTTTTTTTTTGTGTTTCTGTTACTACACATATACCTTTTAATAAAGGGCTGTCATTTTCCCTTTTCCATAATTTGTTTTCCTTCGATTGGAACCTCTTAATTTTGGATTTATAATTGCT